TGTGTGTTTTCCTGTGCTCCCAAACTAGCTAAAAAGTATGAGATTGAACATTGTTCGCGTTCTAGTAAAACAATTAACTGGTCAGAGGACAGCTAAATAAATTACGTCACCACGATGAGTTGACACATGAGCCGGCGATATGGTCATGGGATACTGGTCAGTGGCTATCCTGTTTTGACAGGTGTCAATTGACCATATTGTGAATGTCCTATATAAAAGATGTGTACTTGCCAAGACACGCCTAAGACACCCCTCCCTTCCTTTTGATAGTTTCCCCTACCCCATCCGTACAATCTGTAGACGCGTACGTACGCTCGGTCAGTCACGTGACAACCAAACGAAAGGAGGTTGACCATATTCCATGAGTGTGGGGCTCTGTCCCACACGCGCGAAGCGTTCGTGGGAGCCCCGCTATTAGGGAAAAGACACAATACTATATATTATACAGAGTGTATATTACCGGTGCACTTGTGGCTTTCCACCATGAAGTATATACTGCAAGTCGCTTTGCGAGCGAAGCATAATTACCCAGTCTCCTTTTGCGCAAATTGTTTATGTGCCGCAATCTCTTGTGCCAGGGATTTGGCAAAACCCGCTTCACCTTACAGGACCGGCTCACAGTCATACAGTAGATACCAATCATAAAACGATGAAGAGCGTAAACAGTATTGTGTGACTGGCCCTCTGCGTCAAATAATCCCACAAAGTTAGAACAAAAAAAATGTAAATATGTGCGACTAAATAAGCGTCTCCCACTTAGTCCCCACCTTGCGTGACACGAAACACGAAAGAGATTCCAAAAATCTAACTCAGACTTCAGTTTCGCCAACTCCGGTGGTAATTCAATTTCGCCTTGTTGACTTGCTCTCTTTAGGAGCAAGACCTTAATACAAATTCAGGAAGACAATTAAGTCGGCTTTGAAACTTTTTGATCAGCAAGGCGTCCAACCGAACAGATCATGGCATTTATTTTCTCTGTAAATCTATATAGGATTGGGTACACCGTTTTTCTGATCTTATGCTTCATGAAGATTCTAATATTTTTTAAGGAAAGAAAAATTATAAAATCAGTGCTGCGCTTGTGACGTGACACATTGCGTGACTAAGATACACTACCCTGAAGACAGTGTGTTGTTCATGTAACAGAATCCAACAGATCGAGTACTATTTTCATGAACGGTAAGGAAAAATATGTTTCTGCCCATCATAAGCAGCTGCAGTAATTTGGTAGGGTTTCAGTGTGAAAAGAAACTTTGTAGATGTGCACTGAAGATGAGGTAAGGGATCTGAATGCGACGACATGCATTACTACATGGTGGATGAGACCTAAACGAACCGTGACTTGTATGTGATTTGACTTTGGCTCTGAAATGTTTCTCTCATTGATTGCTTTGTTAATGGCATGTAATGTGTCAGTTATCTATTAATAATCCCATCGAAGCGATTATTTTGTTGGAAAACGTCGAATTAGATTTTCCTGCCAAGTTATATCGCGGGTAGTAATTTGCATAAATTAACCGCCAACCACGCGATGCCTGTCTTTGTAAACCAAAAATCGTTAATCTGCTCGACAGCTGACTGTAAAACGTAAAGGAATGCAATCTATAGGAACCATCCAACGTTCTTGGTTAACATCGCCCCAATTACATTTTTTAAAAGAAGGATAGCTGCGAACAAAAGTTGTGAAAATTTACTATTTTGTCTCAGGTATACATTTTCATTTGATTGGCATGCAAAAATGATATCCAGTACCCGCGGATATTTAAGCATGAAATGATTCACAAAGGGTGAAATATTTACATCCTGTTTCAATTTTGATCTAAATCGGAGTACTAGTAAGAAAAAAAATGTGTTCAAAAAGCGACGGACTGCAGCAAAAAAGTAGAGGTGATACCAACTGAGATGTAAATGACTTTTGACATCGTGGTGTTCCTAACTGAAACTATTAAAAGGTATTGGTATTGCATTATAATAAATTGGCATAGGAAACGTGCGACTGTGTGCTGAATAAAACAGGTGCATTAACTTACGAAAAATTACAAAAAAAGCCTTCAAATCTACCTCGCCGCTAAACATGGCTTTTCTTCCTTCACGGATCTTCGTTAAATAATCTAAGTTCTCCCTGTTTCTGAGGAACATTGCAAGGCGGGCATAAATTGCAATATTTTAACTTTTTTGTGTCCATCATACTTACTACTATTACACAGATGTCCTTCACAACAGTGTAAATGTTGATCTTCTAATTGTCGGCATTGATCAGCGGATATACAGCCTTGAATGGTGACTTGTTCGCCGCTTCCGTATCTGAAACAAAGGTTTTCTGGAAATGCACAGTTGACTGTAATGGGAACAGATGAATTCCTGCTAGGGTACTCATAACAAACGGTACCTAAAGATAAATGCAGAATTATAGAAAGAATTCTTTAAAACCATCGAGTATCTCGCTGACAAAGTGACTTACCTCAAAGTCTGGGGCAAAGGCGTGAACATATAGCTTTTAGACAAGCCTAGAAGTGGAGCTTTTATTACATTGGAAGCTATTCACTAACATTTGATAGACTTTAACCCGAAAATACTAAACGAAAGTTTAAGAGGAAAAACGTAATGCACATTTCGCCCAATTCTAGAGAAAAAGGAATAATTTTCATACAACGTCTTATGTGGTTGTTGCCGTATGAATAAATAATTAGCTAAGTAGATTAGTGTTATCCAGGGCTCTCATATTGAGCATAGGCTATTTGTGCAGTAAAATGTTAAGTTTAACCTTCTTGATGTGGATGATATAAAACGTACTTGTTACTGGCATTTCACAAATATAGTTCTTTTTGTCGTTACAGTCCCCCGCCTTTTCTATCGTTCCAGTGTCTGTCTCCATCTGCAAACAATTCGAATCACCTTTTCGGCCAATCCATAGGTGCTGTATAAAGGAATTACAAGGGATAGAGAAAAAAAAACATTAAATGGAACAATTTACCTAAAAAGCCACGATAAAGGTGGTTGGAAACACTGATCATTGGAGTGTCATTCAAGACTCGTTGAAGGTATAAGGCTCATATTTGGTATGGACAGTTTAGAAGTGAGATTTCGATCGTTGCCATGGCAACAAGGATATATCGAAAAAGCCTAATTTTTTAATTTGGTAGGTTTACGCAAATCGAGTCATTAGATTTCCTTATGAATGTTACCGTTAAGAAATCCGAATTTTTTAACTCAACTTGTCCAAATTGTAACAATTAGTTTTTGAAATTTTCAGGGAAATAGCTATCATGTGAAAATTGAATGTTTCTACTGTTTAAAACCGTGATCTTAAAAAGAAATCTGCAACATTTCGTCAAATTCTCTGCCGTCACGCCATTGAACATCATATGACCAATCATTTTTCTGTTTCGTGATTTACTCTTGAGGTGTTGTTAGTCATTTTAGAAAATAGTATCTGCCACAAATTTTGTATTATTGGTCAATCTTTTATGCTCTGGTTTCTTTTAGCAAAGTATAGTAGTCATTGTCTTAGTTATTCGCTAGTTATTCACACCAGTCTTAGCCTACATATTTAAGTTCTTTCCCTTTTTTACCTTATATGATGATTTCTCGACCAAGACTTTTCTAAGACTGATTGATTAAAGCTGATGTTGTTGCGGGAGTTGTCCGCCTGATGTAACTAAGATCACTGCCATTAGTATGACAGTATGCAGTTTCTTAGTTACTTACAATCAAATTAAGTTAATAACTTTTGTCAAAAAGGACATCATTATCCAATCAAGATATCATTTTAGATCAGGACGTCTCAGCTGATGAGGGGCAGAACAATTGGCTTTATATCAAATTCACCATTATTTTGCATCTTGTAATAATTCAGTTTGTGCGCTCAGCTTCCCAAAGTAACGTGAAACGTGGTCTTTTGAACATTATTTAGCAGCGTAGTATCAAGATACTTGCAGGGTTAGAGTTTTAGATCAGAAACTAATGAAAATGAAATTAAAATGTCTACTGATTCAATTGGTTTTGTGTCACGAACTACACAGAAAATGTGATTTTGCCGCATTCTTCTTTGAAATCTCTTATTATAATAAATTGCCCGCGCCTTAAGCGTGCTCAATATGCATTTAAAACCTAGTATCTCAAATTAAATGCCCATTTCCTGTCCTCACACTTTTCCTACAGATGTGTTGGGGGAGAATTTATTTCCCTGAGCATCAGTTACAACGAGAAATTTCATGCTAATCGATCATGCAGTCTTGAGGCTCAAAGGGTTATAGACTCGTTACTTACATCTATGTTCATTTTCTTCAGACCGTTAATTTCCATGAACTGAATCAAAAATCGGTGCTTCTCATCTCTAGCATTATTTATCTTTACCAAATCGCCTCCAGAAGCAGTACACCCTTGTCGTGCACCTTCCCAGGTATCTTTATTATTTTCTTTGTAGCAAGATACTCCATTCAGAAACCACCCAGCAGAACAAGCCAATGGACCTAATTTGTGAAATATTAACAGAGCAAACAGATTGAGCCCAATAATAATAATCGTTTTGGGGGGATGCAAAATTTTTAGAACCTTATATTTCAAAAACGCTCTGAAAGATTTTTCAATCTTTTCACGGTTAAGACAACGGTCTAAACTATTAGCACACTTGAGGATTTGCAGATCATTGATACAAGTAGATTTAGAGAAAATTACTAATTAATAGATTTCATGTCATCGTTATTCTGTTGCTAAGGAAGCGGCGATGTCAACAAAACATACTCCAAAATTAAATTCAATGTTCGATATCTTGTTTCACTTTGTGGCTTTTCCATACATGAACTACAGCCAAAGTTATGGAACATCAAACTCGAATGGGTAAGAAATGGGTGCGAGCCTCCTTCATATGATCATGAGACTGCTCTAATGCTGATCATTTAAGAGTATTTGGAAAGCGCCCCAAGTGATCAAATATTACCTGTACTCCTGTCATACCTCGTACGATCGGAGCCTCCCCAACATTTTTAATGCCAAGTTCCCTACAGGAACAACTCACCTTTGGGTCTCTCACAGATGAAATATTCGTTTTCCTTGCAACATTTCGAGAGTTTCCAGCCATTTTTCAAGATTTCGACGCATTCATCTTCATAAAAACGTCTTGACATGTTGCCGATCCACTTGACGGAAACAGAACTGTTAAACAATTCCCCATTGTTCCATACATATCCGCCCGTTTGATGCCGAAACGCCAACCCAATCCACACAGAAGTGCGGTCTGTGTCTTTGAAAGACAAGTTATGAACAAACTTCATTTCTTTTTCATTGGATATGCTTACCAGGTCTCCTCCAAACCCAATACACCCTCTTAAAGCTGTTGACCAGGCAAATCTCCGCGGATAACCTAACCTATCCACAACCTTGTAGCAAAAGCCTTCAAATTCGCTCCACTTTTCAGGGCATTCCAAAGCTAAAAAGGATAAAATTGAGGCATCTGTGACACTTGTATGTGACTTAAACAGTGATGAAAAATTACTGGATGAGGCTGAGTATGATCTTAAGAATTATCACTAAGACCGACTCCAATAGTCGTTTCATTTTTCCTTTAAAATAATTCCTTAAAAAAAACCCTTCAAACAAGCTAAAAATACTTAACTTGATCGATCTACATTTTAGGTGCCGGTCTTCGTTTGCCCCAGTGTTTCTCGACAACTTCGGAGTAGTGTACTATGGAATGTTTCAGTAGTCTGGCAGATATTCTTTAAATAGTAGATGTCATCTGTTGTTGTTGACAGTCACTGTCAACAACAACAGTCCTTTTCAGGACTACGTTCACCCGGATGATCAAACTCAACCTACTTGTGAAATGACTCTCGGGTTCAAACCTTTCACGATCTTAAGAATTATCACTAATACCAAATCCAATAATCGTTTTATTGTTCCTTCAAAATAATTCCTTTAAGCATTTAAAAAAAGCTCTTAAAACAAACTAAAAATGCTTAACTCGATCGATGTACATGTTAGGTGCCTGTCTTACAGAAGAATGTTTCAGTAGTTTGGCAGATATTCTTTCAATAGCAGATGTCATCCGTTTAGTTGTATTCTTGCATAATTCTTGCTATGTTTTTAGGTAGTAGTTCGGCTATTTCTTCTTCGCGAAATGTGTGAAATGTGCCTCCATTTCATACAGTTTTATTATATATAAGCTCTACAAAAACAACTCAAACTCTTCCCAGGGCTTCTCGGTTGCCGTTCCTTTTCTGGCGATTACTATGTACTATTGAAGTCACTTTTCCGGATATCGCAAACATCTTCCACATCTGGTCAACGCTAGCTGGTTATGAAGAAATAACTGTGGGATTTGGGCCAATCACAAACGGAGAAATAACTTCGATGTATAATAAATAAATAAACAATTAATGGATGCGGTTATTGTGATCATGATATCCGGAATCAAGGTCTGACTTGTACTGCTGTACTGTTTCACTGACTCGTGATCATTAGGTTAGCGTCTTTTTCCTTTTAATTTAGTTTCTTTCTTTTTTCTTTCCTTTCTTTTATTATTTTAGCTTTTTACTTTCAGCCCGCTGTGAAAATAGAAAATGGCTTAAATAGTTACAAATAATATTTGTAATTATTTTTGTTTAAGGCAAATATTAGTTAAAACAACAACAACTTACGTTTACCAAGACTGAGATAATTCTGGATATCACAAAAACCGAAACTAGTGCTTATTTTATTACCATATTCACAGTCAGTGATCTTGGTGTTTTGAGCAATGTAATTAGTTGATATCTAAAGCTGTTTAACAATTATTGAACGAGGCTTGGTATATAGATTATTCTTCACATAATACGAAAGGTTAAAAAAAAATACTCTCATCGCCCATTCTTTTGATGAGCAAACAGCGCGTGAAAAGCTACTAAAAAATTACTAAAAGATCAAATAAACATACATACCAGAATAACTCCTTATTTCTGCCAAAAAGAGTGACATGAACAGTCCGGTTGTGATCATAATAGCATCAGATATATGATCTGAGGAGGCATTAACGTATAGCGAAACATTTCTCGATCAATGGTTAGTCGGAGAAGAAAGCTAGAAAAGACTTGTTGTTATCGGAGTACTGCAAAGAAGTCGTATTTTTTTATCTTTTCATATCAGGCAATTGTAGGAAGAGGAGACTCAGGAAATATACTCTTACCTGGAGTAACGACGCTTTCTTCCTTTCCAATATTAGAGCAGACAAATATTGTACTTGTCACTCTTCTTTCATTCGAAAGAGATTTGATAAAGAATACGACTCTAAGCCCCCTTAGCTATTGAGACTGATAGGTACGGTAAAATTTTGTTTCAAAATAGGAAGTTAAGAAAAAGAAATCATGCAGGTGCTTTTCATTATGCGGTTGTCAACTAATGGATTTTGGACAGTTTTACGACGAAAATTTGTCCCTTTGCGTTATTGAAAACATAACGTTTCAGCAATCAACTTGTTATTTAGCATATTAAAGTTAATATTTGTTTCCTTTAAATATTCAACGTCCACAGATATTTACATGCTTTACCCAAGTAAATGGAAACGTGTAGGTTAATAATTTATATACGCTGAACAGCTGTGGAGAAACCGGAAGTACCTATGTCACAAGCTTTTCAGGTTTCATAGGGATATGCCACAAATCACCTCCGCTTTTCGAATAGCTCATTTATTTACTGTTTGTTCCAAATTCAATAGCCAACGGGAAAAAGTATAATCAGGATCATAACTCAAAAAGCCATTTTTCAGGTATTTGTAATTTAACGTATCTGTGTGAATTCTTCCTTTAAAACTAGACGCATTATTAGCTTCTTAAGCTAGGGGCCTAGCAAGCTCCAGGTTTTCGAGTACTGTATAACTACAGTATGAATATGAGTCTGAGTCTGTAGTAACCATTTTTGGTTTTAGTTTTTTATGATTGAACTGAAACACAAAAAGAATAGAAAACAATTGCCAGGGAAGACTCTGCTCGGATTCGCATGATTTCAGAAAGCCTAATATTAGAAACACCTCTTATCCCCCTACAAAAGACTCTACATAAACATACAAATGCATTTTTCGAGCAAATATCTTAGCCATTTTTCTTAAAATTTTTGTTCTTAGCAGAATAAGTTTGATTCAAGTTAAATAAACTGTGATAGCCATTAAAAAAAAGAGAAAGGACAAAAAATAAATCTTTACCATATTAAAGACTTAAAATATATGTTTCTTGCCGAAGCTGTTTAATCGGCCAGGTGGTTTATATTATGTATAGTGTTACAGACACCGCTGAAGCGACAAATAGCAAGTGTAACTAGAGGATCCGGCGACATTCGTATAACACTGTAAACAGGAGAGCTAAATTTAATGATAACCGCAACATGCGCAATTGTAATAAAGTTTACAAGCCAAAATGGTTACTTAAAGTTCTACAAATGTTGAAAGGCAGCTTATCTGCCCGGATGATAGTCCTCCAAAGTAAAGTCTTCATAAACTAACCAGAAACAGTCATATTCTGTGCTAGCCATAAAGACGTTTCTTTGGTGTTTAGCTTAGTTGATTGTGCCTTGGAAAACCAATTCTCGACTCGAATTGGATCTAGGTCTAGTTTCAGCGGGCTATATGGCTTGAACCAAAGGCCGGTTTTTGCAGATAAGAAGGTGATAATTTATGTACTATATGTCAATCAGTTTGTTTTCTATTAAATACGAAATCCTGTCAGTTATCGGAACGCTAACTATTTAATAAGTCATGTAAGCGGTAACCAGGCACTTTTTGGCTACATTTCACTCAAGCTAAAAATTTCTAGACTGAAATGACGCATTTTAAGCCTCGGAAGTACAAGGGAGGGTGGTATGGTGCCACCCACGAGGTTTTCGATATTTTTCCTAGATGATAAAACATTCAGCACCTGACGTTTTCAGTAGCGGTTCGTTTATCCCTCGCGCGCATTTCGAGACAAGTTAAGTGATGGTCAGTTTCTATGGTTACGAGATATGACGTCATAAGTAGCAGGTGGTCAAGCAATTTTTGAGTAAGAATGCATGTTTTTTCAACTTTTTTCAACAGTACAAAGAACTTGTGGATGAAATGATACAAAGTGCGTATTTATGTGTTACTGTACATATCAAGCACAAAAAATAACCATTTATCGCGGTTTTACGTAACCTGCTTTCTAATTCCTGGTAAAATTTAAGATGGCGGCCAAGATGGAGATGGCTCTGCCTGAATCACGTCAAACCTTTTAGTTAGATTACCGCAGCCCAAACGTCTGGACTCGTCAATCTTGTTCTGTCTCGTCAGACTGGTTTTTTCGAGTGCTAGCATCCATTTATCGATAAACCGATTGTCATAACTGAGCCCACTGTATGAAGCACACGGATATTAGGCCTTGGTTTGAAACTATATCCTAGCAACCTGCCGCATGCACATGTTCAACAGAGATCTCACTCGATTCAAGCACGGTCTTTCTCAAGTACGCCAAAATTGAGCAAGAGAAAGAAAGGCGCTGCTGGCAGGGTGAAACGTCTCTGGCAGCTAGTAAAAGGCGTCAGAACGTATTCAAACAAAAAGCATGGAACTTTCGGATTTAAACCAAGAAAATTTTGGTCAGTTATATTAGTCTCAGTGACTCGAATAACATTAAACGTATATTGAAGTTCGTCTAACAAATGAACCTGGAAATCATCAAGATTGCGCTGTAAACTTAATTCCTGCAATATTATGAAGGAGAGAGAAGCTAAGGTTGAACTTGTTGCATATGAGATGGGTATTACCAATATATATAACCAAGAACATTAAAGATGACAGTGAAAGATGAGACCCATCTACAACTAAAACTTCCCTCCAAATTTCAGCTCATTTCTTACGATATTATTCTTCCCTATGAATGATCATTAGCGCCCAAAGCGAGCTTTACAACTCTTGTTTATATTTCTTTAAATTTCTTCTTAATTATATCGTCTTATGTAATTTTTTTATATCTTTGTCAACAAGTGCCACTTAAAACCAACTGAGCGCACTGTTTTTTTCGCAGATTCAAAGATGGACGTTCTAAAAATAATTATCACTGTTTTCTTGATCTTGTTCCCAGTGATAATAAAGGCACAGCAGAACATTCAAGGTAATAACTACTAATGAGTACAATTATTATAAGTTAGTATACATCAATTGCAAATCATAATTGTTCGTATTCAGATACCAACCTTAAGTTAAAATAGTTCATCGATTGCATGATTGAGTTCATTCTCCGTATAAACTCGAAAAGTGAACTTTGGTGCCCTTGAAAACTCTTGTAATGGTGTCCCTGGTTGGTCAAGTTCGTAAAGTCGCGTTGCAAACAAAAAGGGGTTTTCCACGTTTTTCTTGACAAGAAATTAAGGTTTAAAATAATCACTGAAACGATTTCAGCGAACCCGGCCTTGAATAAGACTTTTGCATTTACCATCATAAAAAAATTGATTGGTACAGGGTGGTGACCATATTAATGTGCATCATGGGAGAACGCGTGAAGGGAAACTTTTTGTAATGGCGTTGAGTTGAGTTTACTGTTCGTGTCTGTGAAGATATACTTCGAAACATGGAGCCAGCAATTGAAAAAACGCAGATTAATTTCGCTGCTATTGGACTGGTGACTTTCTGTGACATCGTTTGGGGTCTGAGTCTGTGAGTGTGCATGGAATCTAGTCAAACATACTGCTCGTGCAATTTTGCGCCAAGACCCGACGGTGTCTTTATAATTTTTACCAGCGTTTTTTTTTTATTTCAAATTTTAATTATATGTGCAAAATTCACTGGCCAGGAATTTTCGTGTCTGCTGTAACAAACTGTGATAAATTTCTTTGCTGCTACCGAGAAACATGTCGGTGCCGAAGCTGGCCCAGTTCAGAACGCAGCTGGATTTCATAACGAAAACATTACGAACTTCAAACGAACAAATTTCGATTCGGGGCGTCAAGAAAATCGCCTCGAAGCATTGAGAATCTTTACAAAGAACATTAATGTGGTTACATCGCAAAAAAAATATTGTGAATCGATTTCCAACGCAAGGAAAATGTATTCTGATTCAAGATTGGCTCAGTCCTGAATGTCAAAAGATCTACGACAGCTTACAGACTGTTTGAACGGGTGCGGACGATGTATTACGACTACAAACTGATGTCCGGGACGGAGATGGAGAGATCAGCAAGTCGAGAATGTAACGCGAATGTCTCTTCTAAAAGAAATTTAAAGAACGAGTGCAAAAAACTGGAGAGACAATCCCTGAAGAGACTGCAATTATGTAGACGAAGATTAGTGAAGGTGGAGATCATCTTTTTACGGTGTATCTGATAAACAACCGAAAGAACAATTCCTAGAATAAGGAAGCACTTTCGCAAGAGGTGAAGCTATGACGATTGGCAAGTCTTATGAAAGTGCTAAAATTGAAGTTCAAGAGTGTAGTGCAAACCGACCTCCCGCAAAGGAGAGCATAAAAGTTGTTTCTAAAAATAAGCCTAAGAAAGTCCTCATGTCTAATTACAGTGCCAACAAAATGGGAGCTCATGGCTTTTCAGACAAGAAACTCGGCCCCACCTGGGGAGCAGTCTACAGAAAGTGAAAGATCAAAAATCACTTTCAACACTCAAAGATCGATCAAAGAAGTGTAAACAATTACAAAAAGGGATACAAGAGAAACACTCAGATCACAAACAATCAAAATCATCCACAAAACAGTTTATACTAAGAGTGGAAGAAGATAGTGAAGATTCACTATAATTATGAAGTTCTTACCAAAATTTGTGTACTTAACCCGAAAACTGTGATCACAAGAAAGCTTTTGCAAGCCTACTATATTGCTGTCCGTTAAGAAAAGGATTCCTGTTAGCTAACAGATAGACTCTGGTTCTGCATGTAGCATTCTCCCTGTGCGGAATGTGTACAAAGACATCAGTTGAGTCTATAATCTCAATGCAAACAAGCCTGATCTTTCTCACTATGATGAAGAACCATGACTTTAGACACTGGGAACCAGAAAAGTCTTTGTCAGGAGTAAATCCTGAAACCAATGAAGAAGTGATTATTCAGTTTAGAATTGTTGAAAGAGACCTAGCAACCCTCATTGACCTGAACGACTATATGAAACGCTTAGACCCATTAAGGTCTCACGGACATCTAGAACATATTGCTGTAGCAGGGCCATGCAGCTAAACCCTCTAACTGCTAGTGAATTGTGCCAACACCACTCCCCTTGAAGACCGTTCTGACAAGTCTTTGGTGACAGTATAGGAAAGTTTGACGGCGAAGTACACGTTGATGGTTGACAGGTATGATAACGTCTTGCGTAATACCATGGACATATTGGCTCCGGTGAAATCTCGGACCATCGTCCTTCGTCCAAACGCCC